TATGCACCACACCCCCCCTCACCCGTGCTTCCCCTCACCCACCGATCTTCACCACACTCCCCCTTGTCCACACCTGTGCTCCCCCTCACCCACTGATCTGCACCACACCTGTGCTTCCCCTCACCAGTGCTTTGCATCCAAAAATCTGCACCACACTCTCCCTCACAAATCTGCACCACTCCCCCTCGTCCACACCTGTACTTCCCCCTCACCTCAACCTGCAGATGTGCAACACACTCCCTAGTACACAATTTTGTGGCGGGCTCTCCCTGGTCCACAAATCCTGCTGTGACATGAAGGGGGTACAGTGAACTGTGCATATGCAGATTTGTGGATAATACCACATTTGGATGCTCGTGATCATGGGGGGCGCACAATGTACCATCCCCCATATGCAGGACGCCGTGATCACTCAGAATGCCCGTGTGTTCATCTTGCGGGAGCTTTGTTTGGCCTCCAGTTATGTCATATAAAAGGATAATGGGGGGGAATTTATCAAAACTGGAGCAGTTGCCCATGGCAACCAATCAGCTTCTCTCTTCAGATGAGAGAGGCCGATTGGTTGCCGTGCACAGCTGCTCCAGATTTTGTCTGCTCCAGTTTTGATGAATTCCCTTCAATGTATATTCCTATATTGCACTGTATTTTCTTAACTACTGGGGCCCCCAGACTGCACTGCACATGTTACTATAAAAGGTGAACTCATCCTTTAACATAGAATCAAATACACATTGTCATAAGTCAGCCTGCACGGCGACATAATTGGGATACCCCCATAGGCAGCCATGACCTGATCACCAAAATAAGCCCCAAAACGCCAATAAATCAGCAATTGACACATGCAGCCACGGTACACACACGTGGAAGAGTACACAGTAAGAACACCGGACAGAGTCATGCAGTAAACACTGTGATCAGGAGCAGAGCAGCTTCCACAGGCTCGGTGTTGTGTCTTCCATCTTGAGAACATTGGGACACCTCCTGCTGCGGCATGTCACCTCTCTCCTCCATGCTGTAAAAAAAACAGACAAACAATACCGCGGTGGCTCACAGGAATTGTAGTGCGGAAAGCCCCGAACGGTGTGGCAGCGAGGTGCGCACAGGACTACATTACCCGGCATCCCATTCTGCCAGCGAGGTCACGTTACTAGCAACGTAAAGGCGCTAAAACGTCGCGAGGTTTCGGAGATTATTTTGGGCTGTAGGAACCCGTGACGTCATAGGGCGTGCAGTCTGCAATGTAAACACCGCCTTGTGCTGGCCCTATAGGGGGAGGGGAGGACCGTGTTACCAATATCGATATATTGATTTCCAATAAAACAGTGATTGATTGTGTTACATGCAGCTGCCCTAGAGGGAGGCGTGTCCACAAACTGTCAGCACTGATTGTGCTAGAGATAGAGTTTTGACTCTACATGCACTTTAAATCAAACAATTTATGACCGTTTTTTTTTTTATATATATATATGTAGTGGGGGAGGGTTAGACCCTCTGTCAGGTTTTCAAACGCTGTCAGGATCCCCATTGCATTTTGACTCCTCCCCCTAAGAAGTCCCCTATGTGATAGCCAATGTACATGACCGGTCCTCTTTATGGAGACATCAGGGGTCTCCAAGACCCCTAATGTCACCTAGGAACCCCCGGAGAAGCTGATGAAGCAGAGATCTGCTTCTCCCCAGCTTCTGAAGCTGGAGAGTGACAGCAGAATCCGGAAGTAATGTAATATACACCACTTCCTGCATTCGGGGACTGGAGAGGAGATCAGAGGGTGATCGTGTACTGTCCTCCTGTCACAGAGCATCCGTGCTGGTCCCGGCCGCATCGGGGACAGCGGAGCTCGGGACTGGCAATGGTAGCTACTGCTAATACAAGCGATCGGGCATCTCTAGAGACGCCTGACCACTTGAATGTAAAGCTCCCGGCCGGCCGTTTAATTACAACGGCCGGCCGGGAAGCTACTCGTCGGGCTCCGCCGTCCTCTCGTCACAGACAAGAGGATGAGCGGATTTTGCGATTCCTGGTCATCTTGTTGTTTTATGATTTCTGCATGGGAAAGATTGTACTTTACCGGCATTGTATTTGGTGTGACCTTCCCAAATGTATTAGATGTGTACTGCACAGCTGACTTTTTGTACTCTACCATTGTGCATTTCATACCTAATAAAACTCTTTTCATGGGGAAAAAAAATACATGTGAAAATTTACACCGTTTTCATGGCCGACCAGTCTGCATTTTTCTTATATTCCAGTTATGGAGTTATGGAACTGTTGTGGAACTACAGGTCCCGTGAAGCATTGCAAGACTGACAGCCACGTGCATGACGGGATTGGTAGTTTCAGCACTGCAGGAGTACCAAGGTTGCCTGCCCCAAGTTAGTGTACGCAATCACTGCAGGGTGATGACATCAATCTGTCTAACAGGCATGCTGATAAGTGGTACACATTTAAAGAGAACTACCCGTGTTTCCCCGAAAATAAGACACTGTCTTGTATTTTTTTTGGCTCAAAAAAAAACACACTAGGTCTTATTTTCGGGGTAGGTCTTATTTATTTAATTTTAATGTACAACAATCACACTTGTTCATGTAGAAAAGTCTACATGTATTCATGTGCAAAAAATGGTGATCAGGGCAAACAAGGGTGCCGTACCTTTCCAAGAGCAATTTGCTAACCAATTGCTGGCCAGAATGAGCAAAGCGCACTTTCACTATCAATTCCTCACAGGCGGAGTGCATTTGGTATCACTCCGCCTGTGACAGGAGCCTGCGCTATAGAGGAGGCATCGGCTTATGCGGCTCTGCTCCCTCCGGTGCCGCCTCGCTTCCTCTAGCGCTGGCTTCATTCCCCCTTATGCCACCGGCCCTGGGAATGGTCACAACTAGGTCTTATTTTCAGGGTAGGCCTTATATTTTAGCAATTCCCAAAAATAGTACTAGGTCTTATTTTCGGGAAAACAGGGTATGAGGTAAGTCTTTTTTCCCCATAGTCCTACTAAGGGTCACCGGAGGACATATACTAGCGTCCTCCCGTGACCCAAAGCTCAGTATATCGCGAGCTACAGCTCGTGGTATACTGAGATCGCCGTAGCCGGGACGGATCCTGACAATGCTGTCAAGATCCACCCAGCTGCGTGAATGACAGCTGGCTCTGCCTATCTAGAGACAGAGCCGACTGTACCCGCCCTCTCCCCCGTCCGTTCCTCCAGTTAGCCGCTGGAGGATCGGAGCGGGGAGGAAATCCCTGCATGGAGCCGTGACTGACAATCACCGCTCTCTGCAGGGAGATGATCGAGAAGTCAGTGAGCGATGGTATGCGTTCACTCACTTCCCGATCTATTGATCCGACGTATTTCATTGTCACACGTCGGCTCAAACTATGAGGATGAGTGATTTTCACTCACCTCATAGTTCTACTTTAAGGCTGGGTAAGCACTGTTATGCTGCAGCAAACCATGCCCGTTACGGAAAGGCACAAAAATGTGCATTGTGTGTTAGTGTGCGCTGCAGTGCCATTGATTGGAAGCAGCGTTTGTTCAAAGAGAAAAAAAAAAAGGAGCATGCGTTAACAGTGTACAATCTTTCCCCATACACATCATTGTAGCCCTGCACTATGCATTTCAAATTCAGCTCCCAAATATCGAGCACTCATAGATCAGCGCGTTCAACTGACCAATGAGCAGCGCTTCTTAGCAAGAAGCGCTGCTCATTGATCATCAGGTCAGGTGGCTGTGCTGACCAATGAATGCTTGCCATTTGCAATCATAATTTGGGCTTCAATGCTGTGTACGGTGTATGGACCATACACCAGGAACCACGGACGGGAAACAGAGTCAGTTCAAAAGGTAAGAGCAGTGGGAGGGGTGGGGGAGAGGAGACGAGACAGATTACTGGGGGCAATTCCATTTTTCCAAAATCACCTGGGAAAGTGGAATTACCCTTTAAACACAAAGTCCATTAACACACCCCAACATGTGAACTCGGCGTAAAAGGACAAACACTAAACATGACGTCGGAAGTCTGCAAGTAAAACCAGATCACACTTTATATTGTCACACTTTTATTTATCTGCATTTCATACAACAAATCCAGACTCATCAAAAAGAAATCTGTAAAAGCACATACGATCAGCCTCACACGGCCGTACTGATTTTTCCGCCAACAAGAGCGAGACAGTAAAAAGATTTCTGTACCCCATCTGAATTCATATGAACATACATTAGTTTATGTCAGTATGATCTGCGTACATTCTGCGCCATCGAAAACACTATTGGTGCTTACAGGTAGGACATGAATGAGTCATTTATGTAGCGGCGGAGGAGTAAATGGACGCTATGTGCTGCCACCACTGCTCTGGGCCCACTTGTAAACATTAACAGTGTGTAATCATTGGCGGCACAGGCGCAGAATGACCTTAGCTTTTAGCCATGCTGAATGACTGAAGGCCAAGGTCATTCAGCGTCTGCGCCACCATTACATGAAAGACTAAGGCTGGCCATAAATTGCTCTATTTTTTTCCTTCAACCCCTGGGCTGAACGGAAAAAAAATAGAGCAGATTCCTCCACCAACCCTACCAGTGTGACGATCGTGGAATCCCGCTGTTCACATTGTATCCTGACAGCGGCCGCCGACAGCTGTCAGAATACTCGACCAGAGCCAGCAGCTCATTGGCTGCCGGCTCTAGTCATACGAAGATTTTCTGACCAGTCCATCGAGTAATACCGGCCGAAAGGGTGCAGACAGTGGCACACGCTGTGCGAATTTCGACTGGTTCCTCAAGAACCGGCCGAAATTCTCACGGTGTATGGGCACCCTTATTCAGGGCTGACAGCCTTCAGTCATTCAGAATCAATGAAAGCTGAGGCCATGCCGCACTTGTGCTGCTGATATTTATACACTATTGATGCTTATTGGTCGGCTCAGAGCAGTGGCAGCAGCACACAGGGTCAATTTACACATCCGCCACATGAATGACTTATTCAGGGCTGGCATGTAAACACCAACAGTGAGTAACCAGTGGCGGCAGCAGCGCAGGCAAAAATGACCTCTGCCTTCAGATTGACCAAATACAAAGGTCACTCTGCGCCTGTGCCGCCACCGATTACACACTATTGATGTTAATATGTCGGCTCAGAGTAGCGGCGGCACTGGATAGGGTCCATTTATGCTGTACGCATGTAAACATTAGCACAATCGTTCACGTGCAGACAGTGTAACATACTCTCCAAATTAGACCATGAATGCAAATGTTTCTAGTTTTGGTTTAAACAGCTAAATGCGGCGGACTAAACCAGAACAGTGTAAATGAGCCCGTAGCATACAATCCTGCTGCAACCAGATCCACATAACATATCTGAAGGCAGCAAATTGTACGGCCGTGTGCATCAGCCCTAAATTCTTTTTTTCCCCTTTTTTTTAACCCTTGCTGTATTCTGGTCCGATTATGACAGACTCAGATGGGTAAGGCGTCCTGCGACTCTCCAGCCCGGGCAAAACTGCAATTCCCATCATCCTTTGTCAGCAGTTCCAGCTCAGCTGGAGAACCCCAGACACCCATTTTCTTTAGTTTCATACGAGATCCAGCTCTGAATAGTATACAATATTTTCACAATTTGACTTCTGGCTTATAAACGCAACTACTACAGCCAGACCAAAATAAATATTATAAAAACATCTCAGCAAATTCACACTGAGCCAATTTTGGCAAACCATTAAGGCACTGGTGCTCCAAATTCTTTATCTGCCAAAGACCGCCATTGCCATCAGAAGAGGGAGCAGCCCATGTTAACTATGTGCTCCCTGAAAAGAACTCCAAAGCTGCAGATGGCTCACTCTGAAGCCAAAGTCTGTCAGATGCTCCAATAATACATAGTCTGAGGTTAACACACGATCTCTATATTCTGATCCAGAGACATTCATACGTCTTCTCTCAGTGCCTATCAACACTGCAGAACTCAGACTAAGATCAAGTCCAATGATACATAGTCTAAGGTTAACACACGAGCCCCATATTCTGATCCAGAGACATTCATACACCTTCTCTCAGTGTCCATCAACACTGCAGAACTCAGACTGAGACAAAGTCCAATAATACATAGTCTAAGGTTAACACATGATCTCTATATACTGATCCAGAGACATTCATACGTCTTCTCTCAGTGCCATCAAACCTTCACGACTCAAAATGAGACAAAGTCCAATAATACATGGTCCTGTGTTAACACACAATTTCTATATTCTGATCCAGAGACATTCATACGTATTCTCTCAGTGCCTATCAACACTGCAGAACTCAGACTAAGACCAAGTCCAATGATACATAGTCTAAGGTTAACACAGGAGCTCTATATTTTGATCCAGAGGCATTCATACAGTACGTCTTCGCTCAGTGCCCATCAACACTGCACAACTCAGACTGAGAAGTCAAGCACAGTATAACCACGGCAGATGCAATTGTTGATTTGCACTCTTTTCTAGTAAACAGAAGTCAGCGGTGAACTCTTCTCTTGGTGATTTCTTCCTGGATCCTTCTTTTAAGGGCTTCTTTCATGCTGGCTTCCAGCTGGTTCTGAACGGATATCTTTGTTGCAACCTGCTCAGCATCATCATCCTGCAAGAACATGGAGAAAGAAAGAATACATTGGATTATGGAGAAGGGGGTTTGTGCCCGCTGAGTTGTTCAGTGTAATACATTGGATTATGGAGAGGGGGGTTTGTGCCTGCTGGGTTGTTCGGTGTAATACATTGGATTATGGAGAAGGGGGTTTGTGCCCGCTGGGTTGTTCAGTTTAATACATTGGATTATGGAGAAGGGGGTTTGTGCCCGCTGAGTTGTTCAGTGTAATACATTGGATTATGGAGAGGGGGGTTTGTGCCTGCTGGGTTGTTCGGTGTAATACATTGGATTATGGAGAAGGGGGTTTGTGCCCGCTGAGTTGTTCAGTTTCATACATAGGATTATGGAGAAGGGGGTTTGTGCCCGCTGAGTTGTTCAGTGTAATACATTGGATTATGGAGAAGAGGGTTTGTGCCCGCTGGGTTGTTCAGTTGAACACATTGGATTATGGAGAAGGGGGTTTGTGTCCACTGGGTTGTTCAGTTGAATACATTGGATTATGGAGAAGGGGGTTTGTGCCCGCTGAGTTGTTCAGTGTAATACATTGGATTATGGAGAAGAGGGTTTGTGCCCGCTGGGTTGTTCAGTGTAATACATTGGATTATGGAGAAGAGGGTTTGTGCCCGCTGGGTTGTTCAGTGTAATACATTGGATTATGGAGAAGAGGGTTTGTGCCCGCTGGGTTGTTCAGTGTAATACATTGGATTATGGAGAAGAGGGTTTGTGCCCGCTGGGTTGTTCAGTGTAATACATTGGATTATGGAGAAGAGGGTTTGTGCCCGCTGGGTTGTTCAGTGTAATACATTGGATTATGGAGAAGAGGGTTTGTGCCCGCTGGGTTGTTCAGTGTAATACATTGGATTATGGAGAAGAGGGTTTGTGCCCGCTGGGTTGTTCAGTGTAATACATTGGATTATGGAGAAGAGGGTTTGTGCCCGCTGGGTTGTTCAGTGTAATACATTGGATTATGGAGAAGAGGGTTTGTGCCCGCTGGGTTGTTCAGTGTAATACATTGGATTATGGAGAAGAGGGTTTGTGCCCGCTGGGTTGTTCAGTGTAATACATTGGATTATGGAGAAGAGGGTTTGTGCCCGCTGGGTTGTTCAGTGTAATACATTGGATTATGGAGAAGAGGGTTTGTGCCCGCTGGGTTGTTCAGTGTAATACATTGGATTATGGAGAAGAGGGTTTGTGCCCGCTGGGTTGTTCAGTGTAATACATTGGATTATGGAGAAGAGGGTTTGTGCCCGCTGGGTTGTTCAGTGTAATACATTGGATTATGGAGAAGAGGGTTTGTGCCCGCTGGGTTGTTCAGTGTAATACATTGGATTATGGAGAAGAGGGTTTGTGCCCGCTGGGTTGTTCAGTGTAATACATTGGATTATGGAGAAGAGGGTTTGTGCCCGCTGGGTTGTTCAGTGTAATACATTGGATTATGGAGAAGAGGGTTTGTGCCCGCTGGGTTGTTCAGTGTAATACATTGGATTATGGAGAAGAGGGTTTGTGCCCGCTGGGTTGTTCAGTGTAATACATTGGATTATGGAGAAGAGGGTTTGTGCCCGCTGGGTTGTTCAGTGTAATACATTGGATTATGGAGAAGAGGGTTTGTGCCCGCTGGGTTGTTCAGTGTAATACATTGGATTATGGAGAAGAGGGTTTGTGCCCGCTGGGTTGTTCAGTGTAATACATTGGATTATGGAGAAGAGGGTTTGTGCCCGCTGGGTTGTTCAGTGTAATACATTGGATTATGGAGAAGAGGGTTTGTGCCCGCTGGGTTGTTCAGTGTAATACATTGGATTATGGAGAAGAGGGTTTGTGCCCGCTGGGTTGTTCAGTGTAATACATTGGATTATGGAGAAGAGGGTTTGTGCCCGCTGGGTTGTTCAGTGTAATACATTGGATTATGGAGAAGAGGGTTTGTGCCCGCTGGGTTGTTCAGTGTAATACATTGGATTATGGAGAAGAGGGTTTGTGCCCGCTGGGTTGTTCAGTGTAATACATTGGATTATGGAGAAGAGGGTTTGTGCCCGCTGGGTTGTTCAGTGTAATACATTGGATTATGGAGAAGAGGGTTTGTGCCCGCTGGGTTGTTCAGTGTAATACATTGGATTATGGAGAAGAGGGTTTGTGCCCGCTGGGTTGTTCAGTGTAATACATTGGATTATGGAGAAGAGGGTTTGTGCCCGCTGGGTTGTTCAGTGTAATACATTGGATTATGGAGAAGAGGGTTTGTGCCCGCTGGGTTGTTCAGTGTAATACATTGGATTATGGAGAAGAGGGTTTGTGCCCGCTGGGTTGTTCAGTGTAATACATTGGATTATGGAGAAGAGGGTTTGTGCCCGCTGGGTTGTTCAGTGTAATACATTGGATTATGGAGAAGAGGGTTTGTGCCCGCTGGGTTGTTCAGTGTAATACATTGGATTATGGAGAAGAGGGTTTGTGCCCGCTGGGTTGTTCAGTGTAATACATTGGATTATGGAGAAGAGGGTTTGTGCCCGCTGGGTTGTTCAGTGTAATACATTGGATTATGGAGAAGAGGGTTTGTGCCCGCTGGGTTGTTCAGTGTAATACATTGGATTATGGAGAAGAGGGTTTGTGCCCGCTGGGTTGTTCAGTGTAATACATTGGATTATGGAGAAGAGGGTTTGTGCCCGCTGGGTTGTTCAGTGTAATACATTGGATTATGGAGAAGAGGGTTTGTGCCCGCTGGGTTGTTCAGTGTAATACATTGGATTATGGAGAAGAGGGTTTGTGCCCGCTGGGTTGTTCAGTGTAATACATTGGATTATGGAGAAGAGGGTTTGTGCCCGCTGGGTTGTTCAGTGTAATACATTGGATTATGGAGAAGAGGGTTTGTGCCCGCTGGGTTGTTCAGTGTAATACATTGGATTATGGAGAAGAGGGTTTGTGCCCGCTGGGTTGTTCAGTGTAATACATTGGATTATGGAGAAGAGGGTTTGTGCCCGCTGGGTTGTTCAGTGTAATACATTGGATTATGGAGAAGAGGGTTTGTGCCCGCTGGGTTGTTCAGTGTAATACATTGGATTATGGAGAAGAGGGTTTGTGCCCGCTGGGTTGTTCAGTGTAATACATTGGATTATGGAGAAGAGGGTTTGTGCCCGCTGGGTTGTTCAGTGTAATACATTGGATTATGGAGAAGAGGGTTTGTGCCCGCTGGGTTGTTCAGTGTAATACATTGGATTATGGAGAAGAGGGTTTGTGCCCGCTGGGTTGTTCAGTGTAATACATTGGATTATGGAGAAGAGGGTTTGTGCCCGCTGGGTTGTTCAGTGTAATACATTGGATTATGGAGAAGAGGGTTTGTGCCCGCTGGGTTGTTCAGTGTAATACATTGGATTATGGAGAAGAGGGTTTGTGCCCGCTGGGTTGTTCAGTGTAATACATTGGATTATGGAGAAGAGGGTTTGTGCCCGCTGGGTTGTTCAGTTTCATACATTGGATTATGGAGAAGGGGTTTTGTGCCCGCTGGGTTGTTCAGTTTATTACATTGGATTATAGAGAAGGTTTCGTGCCCGCTGGGTTGTTCAGTTTAATACAATGAATTATGGAGAAGGGGTTTTGTGCCCGCTGGGTTGCTGAGTTTAATACATTGGATTATAGAGAAGGGGGTTTGTGCCGGCTGGGTTGTTCAGTTTAATACATTGGATTATGGAGAAGAGGGTTTTGTGTCCCCTGGGTTGTTCAGTAAGGAAGTCTAAATGGCGATAATCAAAACAGTCGTCAACTCAAGGTAGCTTTGTACATGAACCCCAATACCACCCTAACACCCCCCTCACGTTACAGGAGAAAATCATTGACTAAGTAGATGCCAACTTTACTTGCATGGTATAAAGATACATGGTGCAATTTCCAATGAAGTACTAGAGTGTAAATAAACCGTGCATTGGGTGTGGTGTTAGAAGAGAAGGTCGGATTTCGTGATCACGTAATGTTCTCCACAGAATTGCCCATAGAAAAGCGCACAAACCTCATACACAACGATAGAGGTGACCTCCCCATCATCGGCCTCAAACTCCAGACAGAAGAGCTGATTTCCAAGCTGCTCCGGGTCCGTACTGGAACTGCTCTCACTAATGTCATCCTCAGCCAGACCTGCACTGGGGTGGGAACTTTCTGAGGAGGGACACAAGAGGACATCCGGTGAAAAAAAGGTTGTTCCCTGGAGTTCTGATATACCTTGAATATCCCCTTTAATGTTTAATTAATCATTTGAATAGGTCATCAAGGACATCTCAGAGAGAAATACGGCACAATCAAGAAAATTTAACCTTAAACGTCACACAAAATTAGTGCAACAGTTCATCAAAACCACATTTTCTGTCACTCCTGCAGGGATTCCCCCCCCCCCCCCATCCCCCCCCCCGGCACGGC